CGTAATTTGTTCTGGTTCTGATTTTTATAAAGTTTGTATTTCTAAAATTGTAGTGTGTATCAGTATTCGTATATGTAGAAAGGAATAATTCACGGTCAGTTTTAACTTGGGAGAATATAACCTCAGACAATCGTTGATTATACAGTGCCTCAATATTCAGGATACGATGTTTCTCAAAGTATTGGAATGTATGATCGCGGCTTGATAGGTTTTCAATAAATCGTATACTTTTTTCTGCATTAAGTACAAACTAGTCATATTACATTTAGATGTAACCCCCCAGACAAGTAAACAATAGTGCAGTCGAGAATGAACAGTAGTGAAATAGAGCTGACGTTTTAGCCACATTGGTAATAAGGCACGAAATCTATTCAGCATGCCAATAGACTGTGCGATGTCACGCTTCACAAAATTCACATGACATGTCCAGCGAAGGTTTTCATGAAAATGTATGCCTAAGAATTTGTATTCGGTAACCCTTTCTAGTGACCGTGACTGGAATACTATTTCGGTAGTAAGGTTAACTGGTCTGTTAATTGAGGAAAAAACAATATATTTTGTTTTGTTAACATTTAGAAGCAGCTGATTCGCATCAAGCCACTTCGATAAGTTTTTGAGCCATGCGTTTGTGACAGGAATAAGAGATGATAGGTCCCTGGATGAAAAAAAAACACTCGTGTCATCGGCGTAAAGTACTATGTCTGGCGTATGGGGGATAGCAACAATGTCATTGATATAAAGAAGGAATAGTATAGGTCCTAATATTGATCCTTGCGGAACACCAAATTTTATATGTTCAGTGTCCGATTCTATACTATTAGCTACCACAAACTGGCTACGATTTGTCAGATAACTGCGCAATAGTTTAAGTGAAATGCCTCTAATTCCGTAGTGTGGCAGTTTATCAAAGAGAATATTATGCTTGATAGAGTCAAAAGCTTTATTGAAATCTACGAAGATGCCTATAGTGTAGGATTGATTTTCTATATTGCTGATAAGTTTTCCTCGAATGTTAAGTAAAGCTGACTCAGTGGATTTACCTCTCTGAAATCCATATTGGTTTGCAGAAATTAGTCGGTATTTATGAAGATGATTAATTATTCTAGATGTCTACAAAAAGCTCTGTAGGGTTGTGTGGAGGCCCTCTTGCAGCACAGATGTGTATTTGTCCTCACCGTCTCTGGAAAAGACGACCATAACACAGAATGAACGTCCCTCGGAGACAAAAGGCAGACTTTTTGTATTCCGCAGTAACCATGCCTGCGTTCAAATTTTGGCCGTCAAGGGAAAAGGGACGTAGCTTGAGGGTTCAAACTGAACAGATAGCAACCTAGAAGGTTACTCGTGCTTCACTTTAGCTCATCTTGCGCCAGAAAGTGCAGAAGGGGACAAAATAGAAAGTGTCGGGCCAGTTGTACTGTAGGGGCATGTCTACAAAAAGCTCTGTAGGGTTGTGTGGAGGCCCTCTTGCAGCACATATGCGTATTTGTCCTCACCGTCTCTGGAAAAGACGACCATAACACAGAATGAACGTCCCTCGGAGACAAAAGGCAGACTTTTGGTATCCCGCAGTAACCATGCCTGCGTTCAAATTTTGGCCGTCAAGGGAAAAGGGACGTAGCTTGAGGGTTCAAACTGCTCAGATAGCAACCTAGAAGGTTACGCATGCTTCAGTCGAGCTCATCCTGCACCAGAAAAAGCACAAGGGGGGAATATAGGAGTGTGGGAGCGGTTGTACTGTGGCGGCATGTCTAGAAAAAGCTCAAAAGTGATTTGTGGAGTCCCTCTTGCGGCGCAGACCTGTATTTGTCCTCACCGTCTCTGGGAAAGACCACCCTAACAAAAGAATGGACGTGAAACTGAGGCAAAGGGCGTAGTTTTGCTTCGAGGTAGAAACAGCGCCTGCGTTCAGATGTTGGCCGTCAAGTGAAAACGGACTTAGCTTGAGGGTTCAAACTGAACAGGTAGCAAGCTAGAAGGTTACTCATGCTTCCGTCGAGCTCATCTTGCACCAGAAAAAGCACAAGGGGGGAAAATAAAGAGTGTGGGGCCAGTTGTACTCTAGGGGCATGTATACAAAAAGCTCTGCAGGAACAAACCTTTTCCCGAGGTGGACAGCAGGGGCCTGAAGACATAAATAAAAAAGAAGTGACACATTTAACGAGTCTTCACTGCGCCAGAAAAACAAGAATCAGCTCATTTCTTTTTGAGACCTCAGTCTTTATTAGGCCAAGAATACAATTTTTCAGACGAGCTGTCTCAATGTAAAAACACACTTCCTTATTGGTACCCTTTTGACACACAAACAGTACTACCTGGTGCGAGACCCTTCCCCAACAATTTGATAGTTGTACGTACCTATAATGGTTTTCTAATTACGAGCGAGCGGCAGCTCTTTGAAGTCTTGCTCGCGCTCTGGTGAGCCTTCAAACGACCAGCCGCTCCGCCGAGCGCGCGCCGCACGAGATGAATGAATTAAAATAATCTCGCGCGCATAGCGAACGTTCCTTTTACCCGAGGGAGCGCTTCAGAAGAAAAAAGCAAATTGTGGTAGCAAATGATGAAGCGGTGAGCAATATCGAACCTGAAAATGACTGCTTTCGTGCGGGAAGTCGCATCAGTGCTCGTACAGTAACCTATCGACTCGATCAGAGGCAAACTACAGTCGTCGGGTCTTCTACGAAACGCCTGCTCACGTTTGACACCAACATCGCGTCTCGGAAACGAAAATTCAGCCTCGGAGGTCCGAACACAGGTTCGGAAATTACAATTGGCCGCCATGACCATGCCCACGGTAAAAGCGTCGTAGCTTCGCGAAAGCTTTTATTTCACACGTTCAAAGTGGTGTCCATAGAGTCTAGAAAGAACAAGGAACACATCGGTGCTAGCGGCGATGAGATACGACCAGTATTAATGAAGGAAGTGTCTATTCTGCCGGCAGCCGGCAGAATAACCGGAGGGGGAAAAAGTGCCGGCAGTAGTCGCCTATTGGGTCTCGTATAAAACGGATTGTAAACACGCCTATTCCGAGCTGTGGATTAGCTCAGTGGGTAAGATGTGCGCTTCGTACACAGCAGGATCTTAGTTCAATCCCCCGAGAAAATTTGTTTTTTTTTTTTCTTCGGACTTTTGTTTTTTGTTGAGGTATTAGGCGATACTTACGGCATCCCTCTTTTAGAATTAACACTACAAAAAGAACGCGCAAAAAAAAAAAAACAGAAAAAACACCAGAAATCAGCCGAGTTCTCCGAGCGGTTTTACGATAAAACAACTTTTGCGTTTGCTATCTCGAAGAAATTTGACACACAAACAGTCCTACCTGGTGCGAGACCCTTCCCCAACAATTTGATAGTTGTACGTACCTATAATGGTTTTCTAATTACGAGCGAGCGGCAGCTCTTTGAAGTCTTGCTCGCGCTCTGGTGAGCCTTCAAAGGACCAGCCGCTCCGGCGAAGGCGCGCGCCGCACGAGAAGAATGAATTAAAATAATCGCGCGCGCATAGCGAACGTTCCTTTTACCCGAGGGAGCGCTTCAGAACAAAAAAGCAAATTGTGGTAGCAAATGATGAAGCCGTGAGCAATATCGAACACGAAAATGACTGCTTTCGTGCGGGAAGTCGCATCAGTGCTCCTACAGTAAACTATCGACTCGATCCGAGGCAAACTACAGTCGTCGGGTCTTCTACGGAACGCGTGCTCACGTTTGACACCAACATCGCGGCTCGGAAACGAAAATTCAGCCTCGGAGGTCCGAACACAGGCTCGGAAAGTACAATTGGCCGCCATGACCATGCCCACGGTAAAAGCGTCGTAGCATCGCGAAACCTTTTATTACACACGTTCAAAGTGGTGTCCGTAGAGTCTAGAAAGACCAAGGAACACATCGGTGCTAGCGGTGACGAGATACGACCAGTATTAATGAAGCGAGATCGAAGAAAGGATCGGTGCCTAAAGTGAGGAAAGCGAATGGCTGGCTTCGATGTGAAAACTTTCAAACGCCGTTTATTTCGCGAAACTCGCATCACACAAGAAAATAAATCGGTCTCTGTCCAGTCCAGGGGCGGCTGGGAACAAGTGTCCCCCATTTGATATCGTAAATTCAAGGTCGTAATATAGATTTCAGAAATTCAATATTTTCAATGGTAAAACAAAAGGCACCAGGTGGCGGGATTTACCGACCGGTCGGAATTGCTCAGCCGCACTCATGGATCCATTCATTCGAAACGGGTCATCTATCTATTCATTCATAAAAAATGTAATTCCTGGCCGTGTTTTAAAATTAACGAAATCATACTGCGAGGTAAAGCTTCTGTACACCTGGCGTTTTGAAACCTGCCTGCGTCCAGCGTTCTTTCATTTCTGCTGTCACGTGACACGATCCGCCCGAGTAACTCGGGTTTATTAGGGTGAGATTTGAAACACAGCCCTGGTTTAATAAAACCAAACTTAGAATTACGGGAATCGTCTTATTTTTGAAAACGATGTCGTCGAGACCCGTGTTCCACAACAAGTTTAAATTATTTAGGTCAAGTATTTAGAAATTTACCGCCCATTCGTGGTTCTGGCAAGGTATATGTACAGATGGTAGCGAAACTTGAGCCAAAACACGGTACAAAACAAATTGCCAGCGACATCAACCAGGAGGGTCACGTGGTTACGGTGCGTTTGAAGCGCGACTAGGAGACGTTATGGCAAACTATATACAAATAAAATAACTTTAATTTAAATTAGACTAAATTGTATTTTTAAATTTTGTATGTTGTTATTAGTGGTTTTAAATAAGGTTTATTGCGCTCGAGAAAGCTGAAATAGCTTTTATTACTACTGATATTCTAACTTGCCCTTAGCGCCCTCTGTACTGCACAAGCAACAAGGCTGGCTTTTAATAGCGATAAATTGCAGAGGCATCGTGCTGCACGAAGAGGCAGGTTCTTGTTGTCCGTCTGCTTGCTTCTTTTAGGTCTCCACGTGCTTTTTGAAGCGTTCTACCGTCACTTCAAATAGTTTGAAAAGTTTCGTTCGCTCAGCCTGATTACGCAAGTTACGTGCGCAGGAGCGTAATATCAGCGTGATATAGGAACAGTCACCTTCGTGCGGTTGGACGCTACTGCGTCCGACGGGCTCAACGTCCTTCGTGACAATGAGCTCAACACGTTATGCAACGAGGCGTTGCTCCGTGGAAGAATGCCGAAGTGACAACCGCACGGCTGGCGTCTCGCTGCACCGGTTTCCTGTCGACACTCGAAGGTGAGATTTTGTTCCTGTCAGTGAGGTGCCTGCTGTGTTGTGGCCATGCCCCCCTTGTAAAATGTTCTCTTAACTGTTGTTAGTTTTCGCTGACTTTGCAGCGTTGTTCGCGCTCATTACGAAAGCGCCCAGGATATTTGAATTTACCTGAACCGATTTGCCCCTCAGGAGTATGGGGTCATACTCATCGACGCTCTAATGAAGGATGCAACACGACATAGATACATTTAAAAGCCTCTGCACTAAAGGCTTATGTTTATCTTTTTGTGGTTCATACAGAGAGTTTTGCTCACTAATCTGTGAATGTCCTCGCTCCGATTTGCTTTGGTGTGTGCACATATTGGCTACATTTGGTCTTTGCAAGTACGCAAGACACTTAGATAGCACCGCGCTTTATCCGCAGGCGTGAAGCATGGGTTCGGTTCTCCAACAACCGGGGCCTACAGGGGAAGACTCCATGGCAGCTACGAAACATGGTTGTTTGCTCTTTACATTTCAAGGCGTCAGCTTTCCTGCGGCCTGGATACCTACGCCACAATGCAGTGCCGACTGTGCTTGCCCCTGAAGGTGACCAGACCACTAGACCTTCCGACGCGCTTTGAGAATAACCATGTCAAGGCCCACTGATTAGGGAAATAGTTAGCACATGGGCCCGAAAAATTGCTTTTGTGGACTTATAACATTTATGCAATTTCACAGAAACGACACGTGGCGAAGTTTCAAGCGAGAGCTGTACAGTTTCTGCAGTGGCAAATGGTGAGCTTTTTCGCTGTACCTACCATAAAGAGGCAGCAAATGCCGTCACCACTGTGTTAGTTCATGTTCTTCATCACTTGAGCATTTTGCTATAGAATAAAGTGTGCTTGGACAAATGTGGGGAATCAGATAGGAGTCATTGATTGAGTCTCATTCCAGGCCCCATTTACTACATTTTTAACCTCAGGTGAGTAAGCGACTCCAATATGGGCCCACAGACCTGCATTGTCCACGTTGACAAGCAGCTTTCGGAAATGAAGCTGTCCTTGAAATAAGGTTATTTCCCTTTTCCGATGTTAAATATAAGCGAATTGGGGAGAAATTCAACCGCTACTCTTTCACTAATTTCATATTAAATTTGCAGGAAGGAGTTCTCCAGCCCCACCGACCTACCGATACCCGGGCCGCTCGGACTCCCAGAGTTCCTGTGGCATTCCTGACGACCAGTCTTCCGAAATGGAACTGTCCTTAGAAGAAGGTGATTTTTATTTTCAGATTTTAAAATAGGAGAATCAACCAAGAATTCAACCGCTACTCCTTCAATAACTTTGTGTTAAATATGCAGGGAGGAGTTCTCCATCTTCATCGAGCTGCACATCCTCCAGACGCCCAGACTCGCGGAGTTCCTGCGGCATTCCTGACGTACGGTCTTCCGAAATCGAGCTGTCACTGGAAGAAGGTGATTTTTTTTTTAATACGAGAATCAACTAGGAATTTAACCGCTATGCCTTCAATAACTTCATGTTAAATTTGCAGGGAGGAGTTCTCCAACTTCATCGACCTGCACATACTCCAGCCGCCCAGACTCGCAGAGTTCCTGTGGCATTCCTGACGACCAGTCTTCCGAAATCGGGCTGTCCCTGGAAGAAGGTAATTTTTTTTTTTCATTTTCAGATGTTAAAAAAGTAGAATGAATCTGAAATTCAACCACTAATTCACTGTTTTCACATTACCTTCGCAGAGGGATGTTCGTCAGCTTCATGGGACCACACATATTCCTGTCTCCCACTAGAGAACAGTCCACTGGAGGCTCATGGTAAGTGATGGGAGAGCAGGGCGTTTCTGCGCGCCTTGTTGCTCTGACTTTTTTGTGTTTTTTGCTCTTACTACAGTTATTGTAACAGCACTTTCTATTTCTTCTATTTATTTTGAAGCTGATCATAGCTACGCCCTTCCTCAAAATGCTGTTCCTGCTCACGAGTCCAGCGGAGACATGGCTGACATGGCGCCGTCGATTTATGGACCGTCACCTGAGGACTCTCTCTCTAGCAGTGCCGGTGTACTTTCTCACAGAGGTAAGTGCTCTTTCATTTTACCTCTTGCACCTTTTTATTTTGTATTGTTAAAGTGCACAAATTAGTCGCCGAACATAAACAACCAAGGCTAGTTATAGGTATCAGATGACTTGAAGATACTAAAATTTATTCTGAAAGTTGGCGGTACATACAAGGGTACATATAGCACTATGTCACAGAACCAGACTTGTACACGTTACTGAAAAAAAGTAACTGATTACAATTACAATTACTACAGTCAAAAAAGTAACCGATTACCGTTACTGATTACTGCCTCCCAGAAGTAATTGAACAATTACTGCAAAGTAATTGATTACTTTTCAAGTTACTTTCACGTTACTTCTTATTGCGATGACAGAAATACACAAATACACAGTAAAATATTGCGTACACAATTTTGTTTGGTTATTGTTCCCTTTTTTGTTTTCAGACCCGGAGCTTGTCGTGTAGCTGACGCGTCGACCTAAGGAACAAAGCCCACTAAAAAGTCAATAGCGAGTTCCCGCTTCCCGTCGACTTTATCAGCAATCTGCAATGAGATCCGGAACTCCCCAGCCAAGGCTGGTGGCGCGCTTGTAGAAGAGCGTGGCGTAAAAGAAAAAAGGATTTGCCGACTAATCCTAGTTTTATTTTTTTTAGATGTTAAAAAAATGTCAATCATTTTTGCTCCATGGCTGAGTGACTATGCTGATTTTTGTGAGAAAAAAGAATTGTGGGATGAAAAATGTAATTGGTAATTGTGTAATTGATTTTGTAATTGATTACAGAAAAAAAAGTAATTGAATTACTCCGAGCGTTACAGCTTGACAAATGTAATTGAAGCGTTACAAAATTACACTTAACTGTAATTGATTACAAGTAATCAATTACTTGTAACGCGTTACGTACAAGTCTGCACAGAACACAAGGCCGGATGGCAGCCAGCTACAAACTGGAGTCAGTTGAAAATCCACCATTTATTTGTGCTCCACATTATTATATTTAAAGTAATGTATACAAAATGTTCATAAGGTTTCACAGACGAACCACCAAAACACCTGAATGGGTTTCACTGAATGGTAACGCAATAATCTTTTCGCAAAGCCTCATGTAAGGCAGCATTTTTTATAGCTAGCTAAAAACTGCCTGGGCCATACATGCATGATGCTAACCTTATTTAAATTTGATTTGCACGTATGTAGTACGTTATCAAACTTTTCACTGTACCTGGTTTTAAAAAAAGAATTGTGCAACTTGACAAGGAATGCAAGTTCTTATTGGCCACCATTTACATATATATAAACATTTTTACAGTTTACTGATCTGGGTGATTTGTCACCTTGCAGCATCAAGCAAGGCCCGCAGCACTGACAAGAGAAAGATGGACGCACTGAGGGCCAAGGTACGACAGGTCCGAGAACAAAACAAGAGGCTGCAAAGAAGGCTGCAACGACAGCGTCAGATGAGGACTGTTGCTGAAGTTGTTGAGAGTGTCCGCATTCATGTTTCTCCAGCTGTCGCTGCACTCGTTGAGGCCCAGCTTAGGATGAGGGATGTGAGCCGGTTTGGTCGACGGTGGTGCAGCCAGAACAAGGCTTTGGCTATGGGCCTCTACTTTCATAGCCCAAAAGGCTATAAGTATTGTAGACGACTGCTTCGGTTGCCATCAGTCCGATCACTGCAGCTGTGGCTTCAGCGTGTTCCACTGAGAGTTGAATTTTACCCCGAAATTTTCGAGCTGGTAAAGAGGCGAGCGACTTCTTTTTCACGAGCCGATCGAGCCTGCAGCATAGTGTTTGATGAGATGCATATTAAAAAAGAGCTCTCATACAACCCCTCATCTGACAGGTTTGAAGGACTTGAAGAGTATAGTAATGGTGTGCAAGGTGCGAACCTATCAAACAAGGCTCTCGTGTTTATGGCAAAAGGAATTCGAACACCATGGAAGCAGCCACTTGGCTACTTTTTCGCTCATAAAGGCACACCTACGAATGTCCTACAAGATCTTCTTTTCCAGTGCTACAGCCTCCTTGTGGATGCTGGCCTGGAGCCAGTAGCTGTGGTATGTGATCAGGGGAGCCAAAACATCTCCCTTTTTTCAAGCCTTATAACCCCCGAGAAGCCTTACATAGATGTCAACGCCAAACCTCTTTTTTTTCCTTTTTGATGCTCCGCACCTCCTGAAGTGCCTCAGAAACATGCTATTTAAGTATGACTTCAAGGTTTGTGATCAAGTAGTAAAAAGCTCGTACATAAAGGAAGCTTATGAAAAGGACCGGAAACTTGAGATCCGTTCGATGCCCAAGCTGAACGCAAAGCACTTTGATTTGACGTTCTGCTCGAAGATGTCGGTGAAACTAGCGGCCCAAGTTTTTAGCAACCATTGTGCTGCTGCAATGTATGCCTTCGTAACGTTCCAGCAATTGCCAGCTGCAGCTATTCACACAGCGAGATTCGTTGAAAGAATCGACCGTCTCTTTGACAGCCTAAATAGCTCCCACAAATCGGCAAAAACGCCCTTCGCCTCTGCGATGCATAATGGCTCTGTCCATGAAGAGATTTCAAAGAGTGCATTGAAGTTTTTGAAACCCTGCAAGTACTCGGATGTAGACGGCAGCCAAACTGCATTCGTGGCTTTTGCTTAACAATGAGGTCTCTGATGATGCTCTGCAATCACCTCACAGTTAATTTTGGTTTCACCTACATTTTAACCCGCCACTTAAACCAGGATACGCTTGAAAACACCTTTGCTATTATACGTTCGAAGTCTGGAGCAAACGCAAACTCTACTTCTCGTCAGTTTCAGGCAGCGTTCAGACATCTTTTGGTAAGCAACTTGTTCAAGCTGACTGAAAAATCAAACTGTGCTGAGGACATGATGTCCCTCCTTGCTACTCTTCCGGTAGGCCTATCGGCACCCTCTGCTTCTCTACCCTTGGGAAGCTCAGTTTTCCTTAGCGCAGCAGACGAGTCGCCCTTAAACTACCCTTCGGCCATGGTAGCGAACAACATGGTTTATTTTGCTGGGTGGCTTGCGACAAGATTTTTGAAGGGTCATTCTTGTGTCGGGACATCTCAGCGATGTGAGCTGAAGAAAGAAAATGCATGTTTTTCTGAAGGAAACCAAGTTTTACTGTACTTGAGCGTGAAAGGCACTGCTGACTCGGACTTTGGAAACCTGTCAGTTCCCTCCCCTTCCTTCACATCATTCGTTGAGGCATGTGAGCGTTTTCGAGGCGAGGATCAACAACCTTATTTCAAAGGAGGGCATAGGGCGCACTCTTTGTGTACTTTTTCATCAGGAGGTCCAAAAGTCTCTTGTTGTGTGTGACAACAATGTGTATGACGACTTGTTTTCTCTGTTTGCAAGAGTCAGGCTACACTGGTTTGCACGAAAAAAAAAAAACACTGAACTTGTTGATGCATCAGCAAGGTGTAAAACTAGGCAGCACGTGCAAAGGCTAAGCTCTTGAGACTACACAGCGTACATTTTAAAAGTAGTATATGTGCTTTCCTAGCCTTTCGTATGGTATAAAAGACTATTTTCGCTTGCTCGATATTTTGCAACGTGTCTCGAAAAAATCTGGCGGGCGCACAATTTCGCGATCTAGAACAATATTTATTGCTTTCATATCCTTGGACTGAGTCATTTTTCGCGAGGTTTTTCAACTTGTGAAATTATTAAATATTAGGTCATCGCGAAAGTCAAGGTGCTTACTGTGCTTTGGGTTACTGACTGCTCATGTCGTTTTGTCACTGAATTAAACCTGTGGTTTTAGGGTCCGACGAAACACTGGCCTATTACCTGCAGCGTACTGGAGGGCACCAAAATTATTTACGCGTACAAGGGAGGTTACAGAGTACACAGCACCATCATACTCAAGTTAGTTTTCTGGATTATGGTACCTTGCCAAAGAACGGCAAAATCGGCTGTTATTTTTGTTGAACACAGCTTTCCTCCAAACACTTTGAATTTTTTTTTATATTGATGGCTGTCTATAAATTGACAATGTCCACACAACAGGCAACCAATTGTACAGTGTGTTACGTGCTATCCTGTCATAATGTGCCTTGTGTATTGATCTAGTTTTCTTCCACCTTAAAACTAGGTATAATTGTATGCGTCTGACGAGCGTTCTGGTTGAGTGATTGTAAGCAGTTTTAAGTGAATAAAATGTTAGTGCAACATTGGACTGCATTTGAGTTACTGTTGCGTATCTTCAACGCTAACACACTCGAGAAACGTTATTGTTATTCACTTTGTTTGCGAGGTCAATCACCTTAAAGCCGCTCCCACATTTCTGAAAAGCTGAAGAAAAAAGCAAAAGTAGTTCTGTGGGATGAAAAAAAAATATTCTCGTAGTGAGCTGCCTAAAAAAGGCGGCCGCATACAGAAATTAAATTATTTTCGCGCAGATTTAAGAGTCCAAACGGGGTGGGGTAAATTCAACATAAAAAAACCGAGACTGCAGGCAAGAAGGACAACACACTAAAAGAAGTCAAACATAGCTTGGCACAGCTTTGTTTGAGATTTTTTAGTACCAGAAAGCTTTCAGGCTTTTTTTTAGAAATCGGGATTGCAGGCAAAAAGGACGATCGTCCTTTTTGCCTGCAGCCTGCAGTCTCGGTTTCTTGTTATATTTAATTTTCGCGCCAAACAATACATCAAAGTGACGTCACGTTTTTGGTTTTTTTTTCGGAAGTGACGTAACTTCCTGTTTATTTTTTGTTCCGCCGGAAATGCTATCACGACACATAGATGGCGCTAGCGAAGCCCCATGAGCCGCCATTTTTTCGACACGTGGGGTTCTATGGAAGCTTCGCTACCATATGTACATATACCTTGGTTCTGGTTTGGTTTTTGCAAAAAAAGCAAATGGCTGCCGCGTGTTTTGCTCGCAACCGGAGGTGATTCAATCGCACGAAGCTCGGAAAGTAGGCTAGCTAGGACATTTATTTTAACCAGGGAGTAAGATTATGTTCCGAGGAACATTCGAGGCGCGTCTCATCGATGTAGGTATTCTAAAAAGAAAGTTATCAACAGAAGTTTACGTGTAAGTAAGGCTTTCACTGTACGATGTTTTGACTTCACATATGCTCGTATAAAGAAAACTACGATAGCTAGAGGGTTCTAATTCGCAGCGAATGATCGCGCTCTGAATTTAGACGCACTGTTAAAATTTCATTGCTCCAGCTAGTCTAGAACTCGTTATATTCGCGAAAACAGGTTTTGGGACTCTGCTCGGAAATTAACAAGCCCGACCAAGTTCAATCGTTCGCCTGTGGATATTCAAGACCGCTGGAGTGCATTCATCGATTGTGGTCGTGAAAACAACATCATAGGAACATGTGTGTGCAGTGAAACCGTGTCAGCTCATCTCAATCGAGACTCATCGATCAACGGGGAGGGTGTCCCGAGCACAAGTGGATGGATATACTTCAAAGAGCTGCCGCTCGCTCGGAATTAGAAAACCATTAAGCTATCCAATTGTCGGGAAAGGGTGTCGCACCAGGTAGGAGTGTTTGTGTGTCAAATTTCTTCGAGATAGCAAACGCAAAAGTTGTTTTATCGACCTAATAAAACCGCTCGGAGAACTCGGCTCATTTCTGGTGTTTTTTCTGTTTTTTTTTGTTGTTTTTTTAGTGAAAAAAGATGACTCTTCAGATTACCATTTCTTTTAGGTAATTGAGAAGTTGCATTAAAGAAACGGCCTGCACAGTAAATACAAATGGTTCTATTGCGATTATTTCATAATTGAACCAGAAAAGCACATTAATGTTGGCCTAATAAGAGAGTCGGCTGTTTTTTATGTACTGCTCATGTCTAGGAAACGAAGAGTGCTAGAGCGACGATTCATTTTTGATACGAGTGCTTGCTTTCCTCCTGTAATGAACGAGCCCAGGTTGGTTAACACAGCTGGTGTCAAAGTTTATGTACGAACGCAAAAGCTGAAGGTAGTCCTGATTTTTCGAGCCTTTGAACAGTGGCGTGGGGTTTTGTAGTGTCTGAGAATAAAGAGGCACTGCAGACAAGAAGACTGTGTCCTCGGTGTTGCTGGCCCACCCCCGTAAGATGTGGAGACACACTTCATTGAAAACCTACGTGATTTACTAAGACGGGGGCTTCTGCAGAACCCCGTAGGGGGCTGTGCAGAGAATACAGGTCGACATCAAGCCTTCAGAATTCACAGGTACCATTCGACAAGAATGCTGTAGCTGGACTTGAAACAAGCCGACGTGGGGAAAGTACGGAAGCCGAGAAAACAAATGTGTCGGCCAAGCCGTAGCAAGGACGTCCCAGCACGACTGCGGACAGCGTTATCCTGGCTGTGCAAAGTGGACGTCCCTCGGAGACAAAAGGCAGACTTTTGGTATTCCGCAGTAACCATGCCTGCGTTCAAATTTTGGCCGTCAAGGGAAAAGGGACGTAGCTTGAGGGTTTCAACTGAACAGGTAGCAAGCTAGAAGGTTACTCGTGCTTCAGTTTAGCTCATCTTGCGCCAGAAAGTGCACAAGGGGACGAAATAGAAAGTGTCGGGCCAGTTGTACTGTAGGGGCATGTTTGTTTGTTTGTTTGTTTATTGGAACTTTTGACAATACAGGATTGTCATGGTGCTGAGGCAAAAGGTGACAGTAAGTCACCTGACCAGGCCCCTAGCACCAGACTACACTTGCAGCAGATGCAGCAGATGCAGCAGGCAGACTAGTGGTAGAGTGCTATAGTTAACCATAAACAAAAACAAAA